TGTTTTTTTTTTTTTTTTTTTTTTTTTTTTTTTTTTTGACTTTTGGAATTTCATTTCCGTATCCAGGTATTGATTGTAATTTTGATTTTAGAGTTGTCAAAGTTTTAAATTTATGTTTAAAGTTTTAAACATGTTAACTTGCTTTCACATGTATCATATTTCGATCGATGGTTAAAATTAAATTAATACCAAATATTAAAAAATCATTTTAAAAATCTATATAGGGATGTAGGAATGATTGTGGAACAATCATTTTAAAAAACTAGATAGAGGTAAAATAGTAATCTTTGCTATGCCTAATTATGGTAAATAATTAAATCATTTAATTTAATTTCCTTTAAACAAGTGAAATTAGTTTTTCTAACCCTACAAAACCACACCTCCCCACGCCCACATTGTCTTCTTTTACCATCGAACTACCACAATCAGCAACTCGGTTCTTTCGGCGATGTTCCCAGTCCGAAGCAAACCCCAAAACACTTCTTCTTTCTATTCGGTAATACCCTTGTGGAATATATCTTACTAATATCGACCAAACTATTTGCACACACTGCATTAGGGTTCTTCCGTTAATCTACCACTTGCCCTCCGAGGTCAAGTTCTTCATTCTTCACGCCTTTCACCTTCGCTTAAAGCTTCTTGATTCCCCTTGTGTATTTACACCTTCAATGCAGGCTGAAACCCTCTTTCAAATTAACAGTTTCTAGCTAATTATCAACAAACGCCATGAATGCCACAATTATAGGTATTATTGTTAATCCCTTCTCTTCTAGCATAAGGAGTTTGTGGGTTTTGTGTTTAATTAGTTTATTATTTTAGTTGGGGTAAAGATCCGTTGCAGGGGGATTTCCCAGAAGTGATAGAAGAGTATTTGGAACATGGTATCATGAAATGCATTGCTTTTAATCGCAGTGGAACTCTTCTTGCAAGAAGTCCAACCTCACTTTGTTAGTTGAAGATCTAAAGTCGAAGGAAATAAATTCCCTTTTAGGAAGGAAGAAGTTCAGGTAATAACTAGAAATGTCATTCAAACTTTTAGATTTTGTGATTTAGTAGTTTAGCAACACGTTCGATTAATCTTGAAATCGGTTTCAGATTATTGTTTTCTTTGTTTTTTCTTCCTTCTCCCATAAGATGTTTTCTTTTTCGCACTTGTTCTACTAGATTAATGCTTTCAGGCTTGATATTCATATTACTATAATAGTGTATTTTGAATTTAAGATTTCCATGTATACTTTTTACAGTTATTTCTAGTGATGGGTCACAATTGTCCCCTTGTGATAGCTTTTCATGTGATGAAACAAGCTTTCAGACACCTACTAAGCTCAACATATCTTAACTATGTCAAGTCATGAAGCTCTTGGTATGTTTCTTGCCTTTTTCTTTCATATATTTTATAGATGTTTTCACTGTGATTACAGTTTATATCAATACTACCGAATAATAATAATAATTCTATATCTTGTTATTTTCCAAGGTACAAATTAGAATTTTAGCCTTGTTTCAAATTGTTCTTGGAATGTACAGACATTGCTGAAGCAAGGTTATAAATTCTTATGAAGCTATAAATACTGAAAAAGAAAAAGAAGCTTGGTGAAGAATGGAAACTCGTTTTGAAGCCTGGTGAAGAATGAAAAGTAAGACAATAATATTCGTTCAGAATGGATTAGCATTTTTTATGTCAGAATGATTAGCAACATATATTCTATCAGAATGTATTAGTGTTTTACTAGATTTCAATGTTTTATTTTTAAAGAATAAATGTAATTGTTAACCATTATTACTTATATTCCTTCAGAATGAATGTCATTTATATATGTTCATAGTTGTATTTGTTAAAAATGAATGTAATTATTGATTTTAAGATATTAAAATTCTTTTGATATAAAATTTGTATTCATTAAAAATTATTAATCTTGGTAATATATGTTTATAGTATTTTCTCAGAATTTAATGTTTTTTTCAAAATAATCATAAACACATTCTTTTAGAATGTCAGACTTAATATATTTATTATCAAAAAAATCAAAATTTTAAAGTTTAGAGAATTAATTATTCCTTAAAATCTATAATTTTCCTTTTTTAAATTTATGTTAATTGACTAAAATACCCTTAGAATGAAATTTGATGGTATTTTTCAATTATCTTTAATTTAATAATATGTATTAATCACTTTTT